TCCCGGTCCGGTACGGGTGCGACACTGAGGGTTGCGATCTGTTGCCGGTCACAAAAAAAGACAACAAGGAAAAAAAAAAAAAAAGCTTGTTAAACTGTACTTAGCAAAAACCCCACCTATGTTCTCTTCCTGGAAATTCCTGGAAGAATAAATGCAGGAAGAGTACCCTAATTCATGGTTAATTTCCCAAATGGAAGGAATCCCTCTCTCTTGAGGGTTCTGGGAGATTAACCCCTTTTTGGGGCTTCTCACTGCTCAGAAGAGATGGGCTTTGAGTAATCTTTGGCAGCTCTGTCACCCAGGGGAAAAGGGGTGACAAATCCATGGGAGGCAAAGCAACATCTTGTGAAAGGATGGAAGTTGTAATGGCTACAATTGAAACATAAATAAAAAAAGGGAGGAGAATCATAATTATTGACACTTGGATGGAAGCAAGTCTTCAGGGCTCCATGATGAAGAATGGTGCCAATTCTACATTCCCCTCAAAACAATGCTAATAATATCACTTCTTTCTTAAAACTTCTCTTGACTCACCAATGCCCAACTAACTCCATAGTTTGTAGTTATGTATTTTTATGATCTGGCCTTTTTTTTTACACTCTAAATTCTTATCCTCCTATTCTCCTTAATAAGCAATATATTTTGCTTATTAAATTTTAAATCATTTCTGGAAAACAGTTCATTCTTTCTAATTGTTCTTTTTATGGATTCTCATTTACCCTTCTCTAATAACACCTACTATGTTATTTTGTTTTTTGTAAATTAATCAGATAAATTTACAGTTAACATACCTTTCTTTCACTCTAGACTGTAGATTCCTTGAAATTAGGACATAAGGCTGGCCTATGGCTAACTCGGTAGAGTGCGGTGCTGACAACACCAAGCCAAGGGTTGAGATCCCCTTACTGGTCATCTTTATACAGGATTAAAAAAACAAAAGAAATTATGACATATACTTTCATATTTTTATCCTTAAGGGCCAGTCCAGTACTTGAGATACAGAAGAAAATACATATTTATTAAGTGAAAATATATTTTCTTTAAAATGTATTCTATATTTTAAAAAACTTTACAATCTTTTCGATAGCATCCTTGAAGGCTTGCTTCACTTGCTGATTTCTTAGAGTATAAATGAAGGGGTTCAACAAGGGGGTAACTGAAGTAATTAGCACAGCTATTCCTTTGTTGAAAGCACCACTTTCTTTTGCAGAAGGATTAATGTACATAAACATGCAGCTGCCATAAGAGAGGGAGATGACAATCATGTGGGATGAACAAGTAGAAAAGGCCTTTGTCCTCTGCTGGGCAGAGGGGATCCGCAGAATGGTCCTGATAATGTATGTGTAAGAAAGTGTCACCAGCACCAGAGTAACCACGAGAGTCACAACAGCCACGAGGATGACCGTCAGTTCTAAGAAGCTTGTGTCAGAGCAGGCAAGCTCCAGGAGGGGCCCATAGTCACAGTAATAGTGATTCAGAACATTGGAGGCACAGAAATCTACCTGGCTCATCAGGATGATTGGTGGCAAGATAGCTATGAATCCCCCTAGCCAGGAGAGGAACACAAGTTGTATGCAGACCCTGCTGCTCATAATGGTCAGGTAATGCAGGGGTTTGCAGATGGCCACGTAGCGATCATAGGACATGGAGGCCAGTAGGTAAAACTCTGTTGCTCCAAGAAATATAGCAAAGAAATACTGAGTCAAGCAGCCAGCAAAACTGATGACTTTATTTCCTGTTGTCATACTGGCCAGAAATCTGGGAATAAAAATGGATGCGAAAGAAATTTCTAAGAGGGAGAAGTTTCGGAGGAAGAAATACATAGGGGTCTGGAGGTGGGGGTCTTGTAAGGTCAGAATGATGATAACCAGATTTCCTAGGACACTTAGCATATAGGTGAGGAACAGAAAGACAAATATCATCACCTGTAGTCCAGGTTGACTTGTAAGGCCCAACAGAATAAACTCAGTAAACATGGTCCTGTTTTCATTGTTGACCTTCAGTAGATCTAAAGGGAAAAGGTGACAATGATGAAGACAAGAGATTATCAGAGTAGGAGAGATAAAACTGATCTGATTATAACCAACAGATCAATCAGGTAATACACTACTGTCCACCCAGTTGGCCCAAACCAGTGTCCCACTGGACTGCACTTGGCTCCATGGAAGCCCTATATCTTCTATGTAAGTGACCTGATTCCTAAAGTCTTTGTAATTCCACAAGTTGACCTATTCCTGGGCACTTAACAAAAGGTATTATAGAATAATCACTCAAATTTTCTTCAAAAGAGTGAGTTTTTGAACCTATTCTTTCGTCTGAAAACGTTTATGAAATCTCCACATTTAAAGCACTTTCCTCTGACTCCATTAATCTCTCTTACTTCTGTTCTCTTGGTAGAAATATCTCTACCTGCTTCTGTTTTCTGTTTTTTCTTTTCTCTCCCTGCCCTATTTGATACTTTCTTGTTTACTGTCCAAATCTCTGACATTCTTCTTTCAGAAAAAAGCAGGAATTTCCCCACACAGGCAATGCTGAAGTAAGGCTCAGGCATTAATAAGTCATATTATTTAGCATTTTCTGATATGCTTCTCTGCCACATTCAGAGTCTCCCAGGTATTGGTTTGAGATATATCCCTGAGAACAGAGATCTTCATAGATCTATAGGCAATATTGCAAAGTGGATTTTGCTCAAAGTCTTAAAGAGTCCTCAGTGGCATTTAAGTGTGACAGTTCATCATGACCCAGACTTCCCTGTCCTCTATTCTTGGCATGCATACAGAAACCAGGAAGAGAGACATCCATGTTTTTGACAATTAAGAGTCCTTTTCAGATAAATTGGTAATTCCCAGTGAAAGAAACTTTGGTGGTGGTATCCTGTATACATCTTAGATTTTTCTAAGAGGCAAAGATAATCTAAAGGGGCCCCTCTAATTTGCATGCATATGGGTTAGAAAAATCATATCATCAAAATCATTTTTGTCAATCTCCTCGTTTTTTTAAATACGGCTTTTGGAGATACGAGGTGATATTAAACATTGACCTGGATCTCCCACAGCCCTTCCTTCCCTTTTTATACTAACCTGTTGTCTTTGGCAAATATTGCATTTTCTTCCAGATTTTCACAATTGGTTGATTTTATTATCCATGTTTATAGAATGATAACATCAGTGACTTTAAAAACATAATGCTCACACCTTTGACAATCTGAATGATTGCAGTGAGCTGTTTACATTGTTGTTCCTAAGAGATAAATTAAAGGCGAGATATGCCATGTGAATCTCTGAATAGTGTAAAATGTAACTTGTTTTTATTGGCTTCCCATCAACATTCTGCCCTTATCTTAATGCAAATATCCAAGTTCGTGGGGCTTAACTAGGAAAGAAGTATATTATCTTCCATTCTAAGAATCCAAGCCAGAATCAAATCACAGTTCCTGAGAGACACAGTCATTCACATGTGTAATAAAAAGGAAAAACAGACACCCCCCAACAGTTATAGAATTAGAAGAGAACACTTTAACAGACTGACTATTCCTTAGTATTTCTGTTCTAAGAGAGATTATGTTGAAATCCTGAGAAGGCACAGTAGGGGCTTCTTTGCAGTTTCTGTATTAGCTAGAGTGACACAGGTTTTATCTGCTCTTTTTAGAGCAGGCACATGGGAATCAATTTCCTGAAGAAGCTGAAGAAGCCCTGTGGACCCAAGTTCAAAACCTGCTAATGAACCTCAATTGTTGACAACTTTGAGAACAAATTGTTAACATATGGCTGAGAAGAGACGCTCCAGGGAGACCATGAGATAAGGATTCCTATAAGAGAATGTGCCACAGCCATGAGGTTTGTGAAGTTGAGAGCAATGGAGAGAGACCTCTGGGGATGTGTATGTCTGTCCTAGTCATTTTTCCTATTGTCTCACCATTTAATAGCTGTGTTTGGCCAGTGCTCAACCCTGATATAGGTGACTGGCTCTTCACAGTGGATTATCATAACTTTAATGCCATGGTATCCTCCATTAAAAGCCACATCCCTAAATTACTGACTCCATCCAATTAACAATTGCAAAATAGTTTGCTGTTATAGATTTGGCTAATGTGTTCTATTCAATGCATAGTTTAACAGCCTCTCAAGCAATTTGCCTTCACATTTGAAGGAACAATATATTCTACTCACTTCCCCATGGGATAGCTCAACAGATCTGCCAGCACACAGAGTCTTTCGGGCAAGATATTAACCACATCCAACTTTTCCCAGGAGCACATGTATAACATTATATTGATAACATCCTCATATGAGGAAATTCAAAGGATACACTCACATGGGATATACAAACACTTGTCATAGAATTTTCCAACTGGGATTGGGCCATTGTGTCCCATAAAATTCAAGGCCCTGCCTCAGTAGAAAAATTTCTGAGCATGAGGCACAGAAAGAGAAATACCGCATGTCCTCACTTGTAAGTGGGAACTAAAAAATGAACAAATAAATTAAAAAAAAGAAATATAGAAAGAAACAACGATCACAATAATACATTGAACTTTCGAAAGGAGAAAACAGTCCTGAGGTTACCAGGGATGGGAAAAAGGGAAGGGCAGGAGTAAGGGAGGAATTGATAAAGGTCCACGAAAAATGATTACATTGTATAATGTTGAATATACTAATTGTCCTGATTTGAGCATTACATATTGCACACAGGTTATGATAACTCAACTTTAATGCAATCAACTGTGTTAAGAAAAAAAATCTTAAGTAGTGTGCCTCAAGGAACATTGTTGTAGATCAAGTCATTTTATCATTGGAATAAGGACCTACCTTTATAAAAGTTCATGAGGTAAACCCCCTTTTAAATCAGAGATCCATTTTTTAAAGAAAATAATTGCTTTATAATGTAAAATAGTTGATCCCTAATTTCTCTGTGTACCAAATATTTTCATGTCAATGATTATCATAAAAAAAATATTCTGGGCATGATCCATATCTGACCCAGTGAGTAAGCAACTCCTCACCTTCATCAGCACCCATTGCTTTAAAGTGGACTCAACACTTGCTGTGTTTTTTGGGTTTCAGAGGCAATATACCCGTCATTAAAAAAAAATTTTTTTAAGTTCACCATGCTGGTAATTTACAAATCATCCCAGTTAGAAGGGGCCACCCAAGAACATATGGCTCTAGAATCCATTTATTTTATTTATTTATTTTTTAAAAATTTTATTTTGTCGATATACATTGTGGTTGATTACTTTTGCCCGTTACCAAAACCACCCTCCCTCCTCCCTCTCCTCCCTCCCCACCCCAAAATGTCCTTTCTGTTTGCTTGTCTTATCAACTTCAAGTAATTGTGGTTGTTATATCTTCTCCCCCACACCCTGGTTTGTGTGTGTGTGTGTGTGTGTGTGTGTGTGTGTTTGAATATATATATTAATTTTTAGCTCCCACCAATAAGTGAGAACATGTGGTATTTCTCTTTCTGTGCNCAAAGATAATCTAAAGGGGCCCCTCTAATTTGCATGCATATGGGTTAGAAAAATCATATCAGCATAATCATTTTTGTCAATCTCCTCATTTTTTTAAATACAGCTTTTGGAGATACTTTTTTAAATACGGCTTTTGGAGATACGAGGTGATATTAAACATTGACCTGGATCTCCCACAGCCCTTCCTTCCCTTTTTATACTAACCTGTTGTCTTTGGCAAATATTGCATTTTCTTCCAGATTTTCACAATTGGTTGATTTTATTATCCATGTTTATAGAATGATAACATCAGTGACTTTAAAAACATAATGCTCACACCTTTGACAATCTGAATGATTGCAGTGAGCTGTTTACATTGTTGTTCCTAAGAGGTATATTAAAGGCGAGATATGCCATGTGAATCTCTGAATAGTGTAAAATGTAACTTGTTTTTATTGGCTTCCCATCAACATTCTACCCTTATCTTAATGCAAATATCCAAGTTCGTGGGGCTTAACTAGGAAAGAAGTATATTATCTTCCATTCTAAGAATCCAAGCTAGAATCAAATCACAGTTCCTGAGAGACACAGTCATTCACATGTGTAATAAAAAGGAAAAACAAACACCCCGCAACAGTTATAGAATTAGAAGAGAACACTTTAACAGACTGACAATTCCTTAGTATTTCTGTTCTAAGAGAGATTATGTTGAAATCCTGAGAAGGCACAGTAGGGGCTTCTTTGCAGTTTCTGTATTAGCTAGAGTGACACAGGTTTTATCTGCTCTTTTTAGAGCAGGCACATGGGAATCAATTTCCTGAAGAAGCTGAAGAAGCCCTGTGGACCCAAGTTCAAAACCTGCTAATGAACCTCAATTGTTGACAACTTTGAAAACAAATTGTAAACATATGGCTGAGAAGAGACGCTCCAGGGAGACCATGAGATAAGGATTCCTATAAGAGAATGTGCCACAGCCATGAGGTTTGTGAAGTTGAGAGCAATGGAGAGAGACCTCTGGGGATGTGTATGTCTGTCCTAGTCATTTTTCCTATTGTCTCACCATTTAATAGCTGTGTTTGGCCAGTGCTCAAACCTGATATAGGTGACTGGCTCTTCACAGTGGATTATCATAACTTTAATGCCATGGTATCCTCCATTAAAAGCCACATCCCTAAATTACTGACTCCATCCAATTAACAATTGCAAAATAGTTTGCTGTTACAGAATTGGCTAATGTGTTCTATTCAATGCATAGTTTAACAGCCTCTCAGAAGCAATTTGCCTTCACATTTGAAGGAACAATATATTTTACTCACTTCCCCATGGGATAGCTCAACAGATCTGCCAGCACACAGAGTCTTTCGGGCAAGATATTAACCACATCCAACTTTTCCCAGGAGCACATGTATAACATTATATTGATAACATCCTCATATGAGGAAATTCAAAGGATACACTCACATGGGATATACAAACACTTGTCATAGAATTTTCCAACTGGGATTGGGCCATTGTGTCCCATAAAATTCAAGGCCCTGCCTCAGCAGAAAAATTTCTGAGCAT